AAAAAAATCTAGATTCATATTGGGTCACTGCATCTCTCAAGTCTGTATTTTAAAAATGGAAAAGAAACTAGTTTTGCCCAAGGAAATAATATTCTTAAAACTTGAAGGATGATTAGCTGTGTTGATGGATTTCCTGGCAAATGGAAAATGCTGACTTTTATGTGTTCCATCAAGAGCACTAGTACTGAAATGACCATAGTAAAATTCACTCCATTTAACAGATATTTTTACAGTACCAGGTATGTACTTCTACTGTATGTGAGAAGGGATACAATAATGAAAAATACACCTCTATGCTTAAATTTACAATATATTACAGAAGATGTAACAGATAGATTAGTAAATGAAATGAAGTATGATGCAACTGCATGAAGCAGAGGTTAGAGGTTTGGAAGAAGAGTTAGAGTTGTTGTTTTTATTTTTATTTTTGAAAGATCACAGTTCCTTCACATATACATTCACAGTAGCCAAAGTCAAGAATTTCTAAAGACAAGTTTAGACACTTTAAATAAAGAACAGCAGGTCTTGAACCATCTGCTTTGTTCAAAAAATGAAGATCTATCACATGCAAATGGTCATTTTACTCCAACCCTTTGTGAATAGTATTGTCAGCTGAGTAGGTAACATCTAGTTTATAATAGACATGTGAACAAACCGCACTTTATAAAACGGCTGCAATCAATGCCTCTTGTGGGTTAAAAAAAAAATCATACAAGTCCAAAAGTCACTCACTTTCAGCAAGTTCCTTTGATCTATTTAAGTGTCCTGTTACTAATCTTCTGATGAACAAATGCACAAAACAGAATTTAAAGCAAACAACAGAACCTTGTTATAGTCACACAAAGATATATGACAGAACACTAAGAAAGTTTTTTTAAGGAAATAATTTCCCAAACTCATATCATATAAAACTGCAGGTTATAGAAGACCAATCCTCTATTGTTGTATTCTCACCTGGTAAGGAACAATACTGCCATGAGCTGTGCCCCAACGTTTTGCTTCTTTTTGTCCAATAAGATAATTAGCAGCTACCTGGCTCAAACATGCCACCTATCAGAAAGAAAAAAAAAAGAGTTAGTTTTACATTCATAAGCAGAAAGTTCTAACATGAAAGTTCTCATTTGATTTCACTTTGTATCACTGTAGAAGAAAAAACAAGAGAGAAACAACTCCAACCAGGTTAGAAGATATATAGGCATCTACACTTCCATCACACAAAGAAAGGAAGAGCAGTATTAATTTACTGCATGAGACTAAGTACGAGTAACATTCACCTGCTTGAAGATCACCTGGAGGCAGTTGACCCAGCAGATGGAATCTTGGTCCAGCTATTAGCATCAAAGCCATAGCAAAATACATCAGCAACTAGTACATTCCCTTCCCCTCTCCACCTCCATCCTTTTCCTTTCCATCAAGATGACACAAAAAGAGAACCATTGTCAGGTGCCACATTCCTCTAAATTTCTCATTTCATGAAAAAGTAATAATTAACCTCATGTGGCTCAAGTCAGTTCACTCAGGTTTACTGTCACTTGCTGCCCAAAGCATTCTTATTGACACAGAAGATCAAGATTATTTTTGATGATTTACTTTTTGATCCTTTTGTTATTTGACTTTTATTATTCATTAGTGAATCATCCCTAAACAAAAATGACTGTACTTCTCTCAACTTCGTCCTAGCCCCATACCCTCCTAATTACATTTATTCCAGTTTTCAAGAACCTTAGATCTACTAAGGGGTCATCTAAGGCCTTAGGGTCAACCTCTGACTCTTGCAGTGTTTCATATGCAAATCTTGAAAACTTACAGTAACTCAATTCCATATGAGGATTACCTGAGGATAATGGCTTGATTCCCAGTGACCTGCCATAAGGAACTTATGTTCCAATGAATATCCATGCTTCCAGCAACCCAGAACTATGGAAAGGTGGTGACCTAATAACAATTTCCCATACGCCCCAGAGAAAAAAGCTTCTGACCTCATTACATAAGCATTACAGAGCATGGGCTTGTTTTTGCCATTCTAGATCATCAGACGTGATGGGGAATCTACCAAGCCAGCAAGTATACATACCCCAAATTGAGACTGGCTCCAGGAACAGAACAAGGGGTGATTTTTCTGGGCTTGGTGCCACAACCTGCTATCACCCTCTGGCAGCTATGCCTCCTACTCGGGCTATCAATTAGGCTTGGCCTTGATGAATATCCTTTCAGCAGCAGCCATTCTCCTTTACTTTATTCTTGGGATTTACTCCCACGTTTATGTTCATTTACTGCTCTGTTGCAATTAGAACTGCCTTATGGCAGCTGGTTTGGCTGTACTACCCAAGTGGCAAAACTAATAAACTTTGAGTCATCCACTTCTGGACCTCCATCTGGTCTTGGGCATTTGAACCATGGAGCATTCCAGGGCTGCCTGGGGCTGCCTACTGCTAATCACCATTTCACAGATCACTTCTGTGTCTTTCAAAATGGAAAATCAAATCAACATTTTGTAGTAAAAATGTTCTGGATGGGAAGTCCAGATTCACGGCTCCTCATTTCTGTCAACCTCTAAGTAATTGTATTACTAGAAGTATGTAATTTTACTACTTTGACCTTCAGGCACATTCTCTATTAAATCTTGAGCTTTTGACTTAACCCAAAAGTTTTCAAACTTTTTTTTAAAAAAAAGCAGAATTCTTTTACCAAAACCAGTAATGTATGAAATCCTAGTATGTAAACAGAGAATAAAGGTGAAGTAGAACACACATACAGTCATACAGTACCATCCTAGGCAACATGAACACACAACACAATTTACAAAATTTTAAATGATCTTAAATTTGCATCCATGATCTACACTTCTGACTCTATTATTCTTCTTAACAGTCTGGCTGATAAAAAGAGGCCAGGGATGCAATAATAGTCATTTTCCCATGAAAGCTCTTCCTGAAATTGGGGAAATTTTCTTAACTCTGAGGCTTTTTTATAAGAATGGTTCTTCTTTGATCTAACTTTGTTGGCAGGTTGTAGGGAGGTTGTTCCTTGCAAATAAATTCTAGTGAAATTCACTCTCTAAGGAGCTCTGGTGCTACTGGAGGCCAAGAATTCACAATAATAAAGGTAATTCTTTATAAGCAAATAATCACAAGAGGCCTGGTATTTATACTTTTCTAATTTCAAAGTCAACTGATGATCAATAGACTAACATGAGCAAGAGCTGAAAGAAGTAATGAGCTGACTTGATGATCCCAGTTTAAGCTGCAAATCCTAGGTTGATCGGAGATGGTTGCCAGTGGTAGTTATGGATTGGATTCTAAGTTGAAAATCAGCCTGGCTGCCTCATTTCTTGCCAACTACCTCTTTGTTCCTTCTCAATTTTGACTTCTGTGTTTCTGACACTGCCTTGATAAGCATCTGTGTCTCCTACCCAGGCTATCAATTATGTTGATATCATCCATACCTGTTTAATAAAAGTAGCCCTGTTAAGAGTACATTTGAATAAAGGGTCAAAATGTATCTCACAGATTATTTCTAAATGGAATACCATATCCACTTCCTCCACACAATGGTAACTCATGAAAACAAAAAACATTTCAGAAGTAGGAGGCTCCCATGAGGCAGAAATTTTAAATAAGATTTTAACCTAGTTGCCATCCAACAACAAAATACTATTTGTCAGTAACTACTCAGAGGGAAAGTTGGGGTAAAAAGAATTGTATTTCTAAAAAAAGAGAGCATTGCATCAAAAAGAATAAAATATCTAGGAATAAACCTAACCAAGGAAGTGAAGGAACTATACTCCGAAAACTACAAAACACTCATGAGAGAAATTAAAGTAGATGCCAATAAATGGAAATACATCCCGTGCTCATGGATAGAAGAATTAATATTGTCAAAACAGCCATCCTGCCTAAAGCAATCCACAGATCCAATGCAATTCCTATCAAAATACCAACAGCATTCTTCAACAAACTAGACAAAAGGTTCTAAAACTCATGTGGAACCAAAAAGGACCCCAAATAGCCAAAGCAATCCTGAGAAGGAAGAATAAAGCAGGGGTGATTACACTCCCCAACTTCAAGCTCTATTAAAAAGCCACAGTAATCAAGGTAATTTGGTACTGGCACAAGAATAGACCCATAGACCAATAGAACGGATTAGAGATCCCAGATATAAACCTAAGCATATATGTTCACTTAATATATAATAAAGGAGCCATGGATATACAATGGGGAAATGAGAGCCTCTTCAACAACTGGTGTTGGCAAACTTGACAGCTACATGCAAGAGAAAGAAACTGAATTATTGTCTAACCCCATACACAAAAGTAAACACAAAAATGGATCAAAGACCAGAATGTAAGTCAAGAAACTATAAAACTCTTAGAGGACAACATAGGCAAAATTCTCTTGAATATAAACAAGTGACTGTTTCCTGAATGCATCTCCTCAGGCAAGGGAAACAAAATCAAAAGTGAAAAATGGGGACTACATCATGCTAAAAAGCTCTGTACAGCAAAGGATACCATCAGCAGAACAAAAAGGCATCCTACAGTATGGGAGAATATATTTGTAAAAGACATATCCAACAACGGGTTAACATCTAAAATATATAAGAGATTGTGAGAGGGGATTAAAGATGGCAGTGTGAGAGGTGAGACAGAGATCTCCTCCTAAAACCACATATAATACAAAAATATAATTAATTCAACTAATTCTGCTAAAGCAACAGGAAAGAAGGCTGCGCCAGACTGCATACACCTAGAGGAAAGAACAGACCTTACAGAACAGGGTAATATACCAAAGCCATAACCCAGCGGGACCCAAGCCCTTCCCCCACCCCAGCTCACTGGCTGGAGGAAGAGAAACAGAGCGGGAAGGGAGTGGAGGCCTGGGACTGCTGAACAACTAGCCCTGGAGATCTGCTCTGGGAGCACAAACCTATATTGCATGGTACTCTGGTGATTACTTGGGTTGGAAAGCTAAGACAGGCAGAATATATGGAGAGACTGAGATTCCAGCTGCTTGTGGAAAACAGGGATTGATATCTGGCTGATATGGGCAGGCAGTCTGACAGACTTCCTAATAGGGAGAGGGCTGCTAAAGGGGAAAGGATTGCACAGAGCTTACTGCTCAGGAAAAGGGGCAAGTAAACAAAATTGTCCAGGTGCACTGTGCCCAGCAGGTTGGGAACTTTCACAATCATCAGGTGCTCCATCCCCCTGGCTGGCTACACAGCTCCAAGAACCCCCACCATGATACACAGCCTGCTGCACCTTCCTCCCAGCCAGCCCACATCTAGTATCCAAAACGGCAACCCCTACCCTGGCTTCAGGCCAGCCAGAGGCAAGCCCCACATACAGCAGCTACAAACACAAAGCATAGAGGCTTACACCTGTGTGTTCAGCCCACTGGTTCTGGCAGTGGAGACAGGCATAGCAGCCAAGAAGCAGGAAACAGTGTTTTCCTCCTCCCATGCATCAGCACCACTCCTCAGTAACCATGGGTATCGCTCCAGGGGCTGAGCACCTTCAGTAGAGCTTATGGGCACTACAGGGCACCACATACAAATACAAAATGTCAAATGAACCTGGTTCAAAGCAAAATCTCAACAACACCAGAAAAAGGATCAAGTGAGACTGAACTCATCAATATTCCTGAAAGATATTTCAAAATAAAAATCATAAACATGCTCCTGTAAGTACAAAAATATATTCAAGAACTCAGGAACAAATTTAGGACAGAGATACAATCATTCAGGAACACAATGGAGTGTATTAAAAGCAGATTAGATATGGTGGAGGAGACAATAAATGAAATAGAAATTTAGAGAAGAGGAATACAAAGAAGCTGAGGCACAGACATAAAAAAGAATATCTAAGAATGAAAGAATACTGAGAGAACTGTGTGACCAATACAAATGGAACAATATGCATATTACAGGGGTACCAGAAGATGAAAAGAGAGAAAAAGGGAAGGAAAGTGTCTTTGAGGAAGTAATTGCTGAAAACTTCCCCAATCTGGGGAAGGAGATAGTCTCTCAGGCCATGAAGGTGCATAGATCTC